TAGTCAATTCACTCAAACACCATACTTTTTGTTCTCTGATTAAAGACCATTAGCCCAGATCCATTGTTGCTCTGGGGGCAGAGCCCCAAGAACTGGGGAGATGGGCTGCCAGGACCACATATGAACTGTCCAAAAGAAAAAGCAAAGGCTAAAATAGAAATAGTCTCTATTTCTCCAAAAAGGATGACTCTGGAGATTGCAGGGACTCTTCGAGCTCCCTGAGCATCCTGTGGCGGCCTGAGAGGCTGTGAATGCCCCTCTCATCAGTGGTGCATTGCCACTACCACCCCACAAGACAGGGAGAGGAAACAGAAACACTCCTTGTCCCCATGGGGCCAAATTTGACTGGTAAAGCAGCATTAATATTTCTGGTATCCCCAGGGTAATGTAAGCATGTTTTTAACAGGGAAATAATTAGCACATCAGAGAACACAGTGCAAATTAGCATTCAGGTGCAGCTTCATTTTAAACAGGAATCCAATAATATTACATAGCAAGAGTCACATCTCCAAAACCCACCCCACTTGATTAAGTTATGGGGATATTTGCAAGGATGTACACAAGCCAGCCAAATCTTTACTCTGGAAAGCAGCTCATGCTTCAGGTTCCACCACTGCTGTGAAATTTTGTTTCTGCTGCATCACTGCGGCTGATGTATTTCAGTGCACCTCTGTAAACTTAGGTGAAAGACACAGGAAATGAGGTGAATGCAAACATTGCAGAGAGGTTTGAGATTTTTTTCTCTTTGCCTTGGAAGAGACACAAATAGCTGAAGGCTGGAGGTCACTGGAGCCCCCCCAGCAAGTCTTTGTAATAATAGACAGCAATCTCCAGGTGATAAGCTATCGTTTTTCAGAAATATTTTGTATACCTCCTGCTGAGCTTTTCTGCTTTTCTGACATTCAAGGCACAGATCAATATTTGGCATTTTCACTGAGCTTGAGGTGCCATTGTTCTTTGTATCTGAGAACAGACTAACTGTTCAGATATTTATAAAGATAGCCAGGGCAGCATCAGAAGGAATGTGAAGCAGAAAGAAACTAAAATATATTAAAACAAGTAAAAAAATCTTCAAACTCAGGTTAATCCAAAGAGTTCTACCAAATCAAAGAAACAGTATTTCTTGGACAACACACAGAGCAGCTGTCAAGGGGCCACAACTAGAAGATACTGTTTTCCTTAATGAAATTATATCTAAAAATTGGAATACTCAAGTGATGCCAAAACAAAGACCATAAATAAGGGGGTTTTTGTCTTTAGACAGCATTATTAGAACAGTGTTTTTATAAATCAAAGAACAAATTATTAGAAAGGCTTATTTATTTCCCATGTTTGAGCTAATGAACTTCTGGAACTTCTCTCACTTTTGAATGAATGAAGGCTAAGCCAGGTTATGTATCTGTGTGCATGAGGTGTGTTTAGGCAGAATAGAGAGAAGGAGGACCAACCATCCTTATCTATGAGATCAGAAAATCAGAATAATTAGCACTTCTACAGGATTTTTTTCTCTTAAAAAAAACCCAAAATGAAACAGTCAACTGCTTAATTGTTTACTTTCTAAAATGTCTGTGTTGCCTAAAGAAAGATCAATCTACAAAAGTTAGTTTTGCCTTTATCTGTTTTGGTCTGTCTTTAACCACTCAGCACCAGGCTGCAGCACTCCAGAGTAAGAAGCTGAAAATGAAGATCTGGTATTTTTTTGGTACAATTCTCCTTATTTAAAGGGAGCATACCCAAACCCTGCTCCTTTGATATACGCACCCAGTGCTAATAACAACAAACAGACACGTACCTTACAGATCCAAAGCCCACCTTTTTAGTCAGGCCTGCGTCTCAGGAAATCCTGTCTTTCTGTTTCTGCCCAGAACCTCTTCCCTTACCTCCTACCTTCTCTTCCCCTGCTGTGCACACCCACCCACACAGCTGCGGCTCGGCAGTCCCTGATCCCTGCATGCTTTCCACCACTCCCTGAGAAATTCTCCAGCAACCCCCCAGCTCACCCTATTTCCTCCAGCTCTCTATTGCTTTTTGCTATAGCTCGAGAAAAGGCTTTTCAATTACTTTTTTGCTTGCTATGAAAGAAAGCATTTACCCTACTCACCAGCATTAATAAGGCCTATGATTGCCCACACATCAAACAGCAGTGGCTGCTATAGTCCCAAGGATACAAGGACAGGATTAAACTAAATGGAAAAAAATGTGTTTCACAAAGCATCTGTAGGATGACTGCCCCATCACCATTCCCCGTATGACCTCTGCAAGCACTCAGAATCAGACTCTGGCCGTAGAAACACATGTTTTCGTTGGCTGTTATACTAGGGAAGTAAAACACTACCTGCCAGCCTGCTCCAGGCTCTTTGTTATTGTGCTCCATATTACCTTTTGTTCATTTGTTGTTGGCAAAAGCAGCCATGTTTTCATTAATGTAAAGTCAAAAGCTGCATTATTGAAAAAAAAAAAAAAAGAAAAAACATGGGTTCTGAACATCCCAGACCAGTCATTGAACTATGCTGTACTGTCTGGGCTTTGCAAACAAAAATGATACCAAAAATGTTTCTGTTTCTTTACTAATGTGTAGTCACTACAGCAACAATGCTATCACCTTGTCAGTCAGCAGCCACCACTCAACCTCACAGTTTCACATGGCATCAATAACAATCGGGACTTGGCTCTAGTCAGCAGTAGCTTAAGTTGTTTTAGAGATGTAGCAGGACTACATATAAAATACAACCATATAAATATATGGTTTCAGGGCTCAGATCTGAGGACTAGAACGAGTATGTAACTGTACAGGTCAGCCTTCAGTCTCAGGATCCACTCTAGCTCAGTCTCCTGTCTTGTAGGCACCCTGTTCATTGTGGCACCGCAGGAATGAGGCTAAAACGTCAGTTCTGAAGAGTACATACTTCAATAGTTGGTTAGCAGAAAGGTAGTATGTCTATTTTTAGATATTGCCCTCACTGCAGCAGTATTGCATCATCCCATCCTTTTTTCGGTCTACTTTCAGCTCTGCAGTATATAGAAACACAAGGGTAAAATGAGCTATAAAAGAATTACATAGTTTACCAGAAACAGCAGAGCAGTAACCCAATCTGGTCACACCACAAGTCCATAAAGGCTGGGGTCTCTAGGGCTTCCTGGCCTTGACCCTGTGCCCATGGTAAGAACTGCTTTTCTCTACAGCAAGTCAGTCAAGAGTCCAAAATAAGGCCCCTCAGTTACACAGCCTAGATCTGCATTATGTGGCATGGGCCTCTCTGGAGAAAATCAGTATTTACCCTCTTGAGGTCTCTTGAACATTGAAGGTGATCAGCAAACAGACATACAGCGTGGTATCACTCCGCATTTGTCAGTCCACAGTTCTTCCCTGGACATTGAGGAGATTCATGTCTCTAGCAGTGTACTAACACTGACAAGACAGGCTGAGTGACCTGGCTGGGGAAAAACACTTCACCTGCCCATTAAGGACTCTGAAAACAGCCTGAGCCAAAGGAACACAGTAGTCCATTACCAGTGTTTGGAAATCAGCAGTGAAACATCTGATTCAAGGTACCCCAAGCACCGAGCAGAAGTGGTTGGCTCTCACCAGGCCAAGGCAGGCACAGCACTTGCACTAGACTGGTTCTCTTGGCTTTATCCCATTTGAGAGGCCACGGAGATGGGTCAGTCTCAGAGAGTAGGTCTTCACTCTCATCCTGCTGTTTGGATGGGGGATAGAGGCTAAGCCCTTACTGCAAGAAGAAACAGATTTGGTAATACAGCTGGTAACGAGCAAGGGTGAGAAGCAATCAGCTAAACTGACTTCCAGCAACTATGCAGCTGCAACAGTAAGAGCTACTGCCACTAACCTGACTGGAGTTCAGTCCTTTTAACCACTTCACTGATGGGTCTGCAAATACAACTGCAAATGGAGACTCATCATTAATTGACTGTATTTTTAATGGCATCACACAGGGTTGGTTCTTGACACTGATCTGTATCTTTACTTATAAACTGGAAAAAAATAAAAACTGCTGGGATAACACATCTGTTTGAGAATGGTAAATGGTAGTAAGATCAGGGCTCTGAGACAAAGAAATTGCTTGGTAAACTAGCTGTGTGCACTGCAAGTAGTCAGATGTAAGTTTATGCATTTGGCCTGAAAACTGAAGGCCGTAACTCCCTCCATGATGTGGTGGTCTGCAGGGGAAACAGGAATTGACCTTAGCACCACACGAAATGCTATGGCCAAAATGACTTACCCGATCCGCAAGTTGCTAAGTGGGAACACTGGATAAAAGCAGAGATTATACATTCCTGATGCATATTCTGTTGGTGTAAAGCCTGAAAAAAATACCATGATTCCAATATCCTTAATTCAAGAAGGAAATCGAAAAAAAAGAGAGAAGATACAGAAAATACTTATGAGACAACATCAAGTACCGATACAAGAGACCAAGTGAGATGCTGAGGGAGTCTGGGCTGCTTAGTTTGTTCTTGTCTGATTTGAATGTGCTATTTTAATCTTAAAGAGATTATGCTTGTTGCACCGTTTTTGTGCTGTACTCCTGTTATCCAAAATAGGCTAGGAAACTGTATATACTTCTCCCTTTTACATATAACTTGACTTTTTAGGACTTGTGGTGAAAGAGGGAAAATCGATGCCTTTTTCTTGAAGTAGCAAACTTTAGGTATAGCCAGGGTATTCATGCTCTTCATGGTATTAAACATCTTTGTTACACAGGGCTAGGCAAAATCAGGAAAGCTTTCAATTCAGATCGGATTGTTAAGGAACATGACAATAATTGTTGTGTCTTCTTGTGTACTGTTGTATATAGTTTGCTTTCCAGATAATCAGGGAATGTCACTTAACAAGTTCCTTGTTAATGCAAGGATCTGATAGCAGAATGAAGCTCTTACTTGCTCCAGATCTCTTCCAATGGGACATGGCAGTTTGTGGCTTTTGATCTTTTACATAAGATTAATAGTTTTGTTATATAGGGTGTGTCTTGCAACCTGCAGTTTGTAGAAGCATGTGGAGTGGGTGTTGTGAACACCATTTTGGACTTTCCAGACATAACTACAACACAGTGGCAGCAGGTAAGGCTTGATGAAAAGGTGATTCCTTTTAAACTTAGGGTCCTACTTGCATGAGCAGAACAGAATTGTAATGTTAACTCTGATAGCAAGTCTTCCTGATGTTTTGAGCAAGCTGTCTAATTTTGACGCTATTGTTTCTGTATCCAGTCAAGTCATGAGAAAACAGAGCTCTTATTCCACAATAGAGAGTGGGATCAGCTAATGCTAGTAAAGCTCCTGAAGATGGTATACGTTGGGTAATGAAGATACAGGCAAAGAATTTGATTCTCATAAAGGGAGTTCCCTTTGCAGCGCTGAGAGAAACACAAAGAAATCCTGTTTTGACTGGTTAATTGAGCAAACATTCCATCCTGCCCTAAAATATGCTTGCTATGCTTTTTCAGATTTTTTTTTTTTTTTTTTTTTTTTTTTGGAAGTGAATCACCCCTTAGCATGTTCATGTCTCCACCAGTCTGAAGAGCAACTGTCTGTTCCAGCCCCTGGGGCTCATCTGCTGCTCCCCCACTCCTGTCAGGTTGTGTTTCTTTAAAGAGCATGTTGGCTACAGCAAATTGTTTCATGCACTGGGAAAGGGAAGACTTTTATATTTACCACCAGATTGGTTGCGCTGTCTACTCCCCCACCAAGTTTCTACCTCCATTGACTGTTCTTTGTAGGGCTATTTATTGCATGCTGTCAGCCCTGCCTTTGCCTGCCCACCTTTCCCAGAAATGGCAGCTGAGCACTTTTCCACCGGGTGCTGCTTCTGGCTGTGCCAGCTTGCCTTCTGCCCTCCTCCATACAAAATCCAAGCCTCTCCCATCACTGGCAAAACTCCCCAGAAGTCTTCCCTCATCTCTCTGAATTCTCCCCCTCTCCTCACTGTGCTTTTCCATTATACACAAGCCCCCTTCACCAGCTCCTTGGCCTGGCCCCTCAGCCTGCTGTCCCCATGCCATGCCACCCCATGCCTGCATTCCCAGCACCCTCCCCGCAGCACTATATCCCAATAGATGTGCCAGGCCTGGACCACATCGCCGTGCTCTCTCTGTTTTCTGTACTGTACTCCTGATGTGTTTTTAGCATGATGCAAATCTCATTCAGCCAACAGAAAAAGCTGCATTGACTTTAGTGGATTTCAAATGAAGACTTTAGACTGTCTCCCCAGCAGCACAGAAATAATGACAGTGTTGTGCAGAGATACCCAAGCCAGCTTTAAACTAATTAGGTTGGATCCCAATAACCATCTAATCATAGAAACAGGGAGCTCAGTACTAGGTAATTTACCCTAATGAGACTGTAAGCCCGTGGAAGGAGAAAGCTTGTGTTTGCTTTAGTCCAGTTCCAATTTACCATCATATGCGCATTGCCTTTTAAGAAACACCTCCTACTATTTAAAATCAAACCAGCACATGTCAGGATAATCTTTTCATAGCAATGCAACTATACAGAGCAAGTGTCTAAAACATTCAATGTCTCATGGTCAGTTTTCTCCTCTCTTGTCTGCCTCCTGCACACAAAACAAACATTACATGTACCTACAAAAGCAATGTTTTACAAAATGGGAGGAAATGCAGAGTACAAAAGAATATGTGATTTATCTATCAGCTTATTAGGGGAGGGGAAAAAAGGCAACAAATCCTTTGTTCCATAGTACAGACAGACAGCTGTAACTTTCCTTCTAAAAATTGTAAATGTTGGTGAGTATTATTTTATTCTTCCAAAATGCACAAACAAGATACAGGGCTTTCCAGCCAGAAGCATAAGTATTCCCTTGGAAACCAGAGGTAATCACACCTGCAGTCTTCAGACACAGGAAAACCCACTAAATTCCAAGTAAGAAGAAAAGCATGCTGAGTGGACAAATACAGGATGTTTTCTATATTTCACACCATGTACTCCAAATTCCAGTTATGCAAAACCTACAGCTTAGACTTCACTGCAAAATGTTATTTTCTATCTTATATTTGCATATAATTTTCTGATTTTTCCCCCCCATTCTAATTTAAGGAAAACTTTGATTCTGTTTCAAGCCCATATACAAGTGTCACTGCCAAAATTGTCTGAAACAAGTGCCCACAATTCTGAAAGGAGACGCCTGACCTTTTATAGTGCTTTGCATTCAGCAGTCACCACTGAAGCCAAAGGTATCTCCATACTTTTGAAAACCAGCCAACATAAACAGCAGCCTAAACATGGATTTGGGAGTCTAACTTTGGGTTTCCAGCTTTGAAAGGTGTGATTTGACTTTACTAAGTATTCCTTAAACCAAATACCATGTATTCACCACAAATGACTTTATTCCTGAAAAAAAAAGCAGAAGGTGACAGTGCAACATTAGAGGATACTGTTAGGCCTGAGAAGATTAGCAGCTATCCCTGCAAAAATAAGATCTCCTCTGAAACAGCAGGCTGAGAGCAAAGGCAGACACAAGTATCAGTGTGCTGGCAGAAGCCGGAGAGCTCTGGGCTTATGTTGCCTTGGTTTTGTTACCCAAAACCTTTTGGTGCCTTCCCAAAATTGCTTCATTTCCTTCAATGTAAAGTCAAGGGTAAGATCTAAAGTGACAATATTTGTGAGTTCTCCATAAGCTTCAGGAAGAGAAGGTTAAGCCTCTAGCTAGGCTGTAAACAATTCACTCTCATCCCCCCCAAAAACAATTGGAGTTTGTAATCAACTACTAGGTAAGACACCAGCCTTCAGAATTGCTCCCTTTCCTCAAGGTGTGACCTGTAACAGGTTGCTGCTAGTTTTGGAGTTCCCATTCCTCGTCAACTATAGCCTCTCTGATCAGTGAGAGCCAAAACTTAGGAAAAACAAAAAATGGGGTGTGCTGAAGAAATATCTGCTAAAAAGCAAACATTTCTCCAAAATTGTGCTTCTCCAGTCTCATAATCCCACAGAAGATTACTCCTATGTAGGACTGTGGCCAGCCTGGAACAGCAGCTGTATGACACCAAGCCAGCAGGACCTTTCAGACACTGCCATGTCCTCAGCATGCCCCAGGAGGTCTTCATGTGCTGACATGGGTCAGGGAGGGAAGGGTTTCACAAATGGCAGAGGCCAAATTCAGAGCCGCTCAGCTTTGTCCCCCTCGCAACCCCTCAGAGGGGTTTGTGGCAGTCTTGTCATAGAACGGTTTGGGCTGGAAGGAACCTTAAAGATCACCTAGTCCCAACCATCTGCCATGGGCAGGGACACCTTCCCCCAGCCCAGGGTGCTCCCAGCCCCGTCCAACCTGGCCTTGAGCCCTTCCAGGGAGGGGGCAGCCACAGCTGCTCTGGGCACCCTGTGCCAGTGCCTCACCCCACACACAGTAAAGATTTTTTCCTTCTATCTAATCTAAATCTACCCTCTCTTTATCTAAAACTGTTACTCCTTGTCCTATCCCTACGCTCCCTGATAGAGAGTCCGTCCCCATCTTTCCCGTAGCCCCCTTTAAGCATCAAATGCATTTAATGCTAATACCAGGTGTACAATGAAGATAAATGTCTTACTCATATGTAGGATGTAGGATATGCACTATTTACTCCAACATTTCTAGTCTCCCTGAGCAAATACCTCCACTATAACTATGTTTTTTACTGTGTTTTGAATATTCTTCTGTATATTTTCTGGTACAAGCAACAGATAATAGATCCAAAGTCTTAAAAATATAGAATAGGTAATAATTGTCCCACTGCCCTTTTTTTTTTTGTTATTATTGAACTATAAAAACTTCAATTTTCTTTTTTTCCTATCTTTTTTCAAATTTAAAACAGTAAGGTTCTATTTAAAATTTCCTGGAGAAAACTCTTCAGATGTTTCAGCAAGCTTATCCTAAGGAAAGAAATGCTGAATTTTGTCAGAGCTGTACACATCTTTACAAAATTGAGACTGTTGCATGTATTTTTCAAATCCCATCCACAAAGCACTTATGTGTTTTTAAAATACAGAAGTGTATGCCAGAAAGATAATGTGTTTTCTATAATTCTGAATCATTCTCAAGAGCTTTAATAAAGTTAATGATTATCTGTCTCCATAATAAATATATTAGACAATGTGCTTTATTTCACCTAACGTTAATGTTTTCCTTTTGAGGGAGAAGTGAAAGAATGCTGAAATATAACTGATTTGTTAAGGGAATTGTTTTTTTTTTCCCCAGTCACACAAACATAAGGTATTAGAAATCAATTTAAATTAGCAAATGACAATTACATCAAATACAGCTAATAAGAGACTTAAGTAAATATAGAATAGGAAAAAAAATGTATATAACTGTGATTTATTTTTAAATTTTTTTTAAGGAAGAAAATCTCCCATGGAGAGATGAACTGTATTATTAGAATCAAAATGCAATCAGTTGGCTAGTGGGCAGGGGTAGGTATGCTACAGATCTGACAGATTCTGATAGACGTATTTCCTACTCCAAGTGAATCCTAGCAAATACAGTCCTTGACCATGGCACCGATTTGCCCCATCATACTATTGCGCAAAGAAATGCATTTAAACTAGTGGGCTATACACCAATCCAAAATTCCATCTTTATGGGTGAGGTTTCAGGATCAAGAAGATGAAAACCAAGTTCTGGTGTTGTTAATGTTGGTGGTGTTGCTACAATGACAGGTTTAGTAAAATTAGATCAAGTTACATAGCACAGCTTGACAAGAAATATAATTATGAAGGATAGAAATTGCATGCATTTAGTAGTTGGCTTCTGTAGAAATACAAGATCTGCTTTAAAACAGGGAATATGAGTCATCTCCATTGCCAGCATTAAAATAGTAATATCTATTGTCCTTGTAAAGCTTTCATTTATACCAGTGACATTACTGAACTGTTTTGAGTCTAGAGTTAATACTGGGGCTTAAATGTACTTTGAACTATATCGACACTTGAAGGGAGATAAACACGTGATTGCGAGAGAAAAGACAGGATGATGAAAGCAGCAATCTCACAGCATGCCTCCAAATTGAGTTCAAACTGCGGGGGAAAAAATAAAATACAGCCAATCCGCCTGAAATGTATCGACATAGTGGGTC